GGTTCATACCAATCCTGATGGGTCTACTCCTACCGAAATCGTTCAATCACCCGGGGACAACGACAGCGAAAAAACGGGCATGAAGCGCAAACGCCACTCCAGCGAACAGGCCACTGAGGAGCTGACCGAACTCAGAGAAGAAGTCAAACGCCTGAAGGAGGAGAATGAGAAGCTGAGGGCTGAGATGAACCAAAACTCCCAACATTCTCTGTCTATGATGGCCCAGATCGCCGAGTTGCAAGACGCTCTGCGTGATGGTCTCGGACATCCCCTGGGAGCTCCCACTGCGCAGATGATCTAGGATTCAATCTTGCCTTTGACAGTCCTCAACTTCGGTGGACCATAAGCAGGACAAGGTCTGATGAGCATCATCACAAGCGGTCTGGACCAGGCAAAGTTCTGACATTCTCGGGAAGTTCATTTCCTCGACAGCTCCATCTTCTTTCACTTAACATATACACACTCCACTCGGCGTTCGGCTTTATGCATGGGGCTCATGTTTTCACATCAAGTAGTCTATGAGTCCTGGCATGACTCTTTACACTTTTACTCTCAATTTTCTTTTTGGCACGGCGTTTATTCCAAGGTACTGGAACTGAAAGAAATGATATCCCCCTCCTGTTTGATACACAAATACAATGCACACGCACAGTTTACATGATAAATGAAAGAATGGCAGATGGATTAGGGGCTATGAAACGGGACGTATACCAAGCAGTATGCATGAGAAATGAATCAAAGGTGTCGGACGGTTGAGCTTTTTTTATCTGTAATACCCCTGTAATATACTACTAGATGGATGCTATACGCATCCCTTTTCTTCTCATATGAGTGCGATTAGAGTTCTCATGTTTAAACCAAGCTCCTCGTCCTATAACTCTCCTTATGGACTTTCTTGTGTGCTTGTGATGCTATGACTCTTAATGTCCGGAAACTTCGGTAGAGTGGCAAAGACACCACAAATTGCTTCGTAAGCTCATACCGATGCGATGCGGCTCAGCGTGTCTTCCATTTTGAACCCCGAGTTCATGCACCATGTACCTATACCCTATGAATGCATCCCTAACCCAAAATATACACAGCTCCTGTCTTGTCTTGTCTCCTCCTTACTCTGGGGAGAAGTTTGAAACAGAATCCCAATCATGTAGCTCCGCTTTGCCCTCTTCATATATACATTCGAACCCGGTTTCATGCTGAGAAACCAAATGGGTACAAGGTAAAGTTGGAACTTCTTTCAAGGCGACTTCATTGTGCGCTGACAAAACCCGCACCTGCAACCCCTGCTCGTTCCCTAGACGGCCTGCACGTAACTCGCAGGCACACTTCCCGTGACGCCCGCCTTCTCGACCTCGACCCAGCCATCACCCGGGTCATCCTGCACAAGGACAAAACGTTCACCTTCGGCCATGGAGTGCTCTGACTCAGCCTGTGCCGTGTATTCGTATAGCGCTTCTACGTAGCGGAGCTTCTTTGCGCCACGCTTAGGCGCTACTGCGGGACCCTTCTTCTTGGTTGATGGTGCTAGGGAGGATGTTGTTGAGGTGGAATAAGTAGATGATGGTCGGGCTGCGGGGGTGGGAGCAACCGGAGTAGTAACGGTGGTGAATTCGATATATGATGATGGAACGAGGCCTTCCTTGTAGCCTGCGCGGACCTTGACCCAGCCAGAGCCGTCTATAATACAATTAGATATCGTCATTAAGGTATCGGGGGTTCAGACTTACCGTCAGGTTCCAGCAGTACCACATCTCGACCATCTTGTACTGTAAGTTCACCCTCACCACTAGCTTCGAATGCATACAGCATCTTGCCCTTCTTCTCCTCCTTTGCGCCACCATTTGTCTCGCCTCCACCGGACCCTGTGATGTAAGCTGCTGGCGGAGGCGCCATGATTCTGTTCTTGCGCATAGTGCCAGATGACTTGGCCGAAGACAAGCTTGGCCGTCCAGCGTCTGGCGGTGTTTCCTCTGATGGGCTAAGCTGCCCAGATATGGACCCCGATAGAGATGGGCGTGCTGAGTGAGAGCTTAGAGACGTCATGGTATTGGAACGGGTGAGTTCGGGTCCATCTGAAGCATTAGAATGTACCGATGTCATCGTGGCACTGGGCTTGAGTAGCTTATTCGCGGCATCCTGGCGTTCGGCCTTGAGCTTCTTGCGCTCATCCTTGGACTGTTCGCCAGGACAGTCGGGAGGCACCTTCATCTCACACTTGCTATGGCATGTGTAGCCACAGTCTCGACAGTCGAAGCCTTTTGCGCTCAGTCCCCAGATTCTCTCTCCACACAAATCACAATTCGTGGGTATCTTGAACGTTTGACTCTTGAAGTTGTGGTTCTTCGCACCCAACGTCACATCACCCACCACAGATGTGATCGTTGATGTTTCGACTTCGGCCGTCAGTCTTTGACGGTCAATAGAATGCAGATCTTCCTGCATTGAGAAGAGTATGCGAACAACTTCCACCTCGTCCTTCTTCTCTCTTCCTTCCCTTACTCGTTGCTTGAGTTGTTTGAGACTTTCAACCTCTCGTCGCTTCTTATCAACCTCCCTCCGCAGTTCTCCCAGTTGCGACTTGGACTTGCCCAATACGTTGCGCAAAAAGACCTTTGCGGTCTCATCAACCACCATGGTGCCATCATCGTGCCAAACCGGACTGGCCTCGAAATGCTTGTCGGGTGGTTCGTTAAAAGTTCCCATATTGTGTTGGATGTACATCATGGAGTCGAGATGGGGCAAGTTCCTCAGAATCTCGGTGCCTTGGTGCTGGACCATGCCGTTGCTTTGTTGCAGCATGTCAGACTCGAGGTTTGTCGCAACAGTCCAGAGACTGTTCAGCTTGGTCGTTCGAAACTCGCTAAGATCCTGCAGACTATCCATAACCTCGGGGACATATTCGTGGTAGTATTTCTCCTTCTGCTTATTGGTAACATTGATTGCGATGATATAGGTGTTCTTGGCGTTGTTCATCTCGAATAGCTGTTGTGTGTAGGCATTCTGAGCCTTGGCCTTGTCATAATGCGACTCGGTCTTCTTACGCTTAGACTCGACCTCTTGGCAGACTGTGTCGTATTTACCCTTTGTCTTGGCGAGCGAGGCATATGAAGCATCACGCTCCTGCTCGAGCTTGGTGGCGTAATCGGAGTGTCGTTTGCGCAATTCTTCAAAACGGCCGCCAAAGAACTTGAGCGGCTCAGCAACCTGAGAAATTAGATTGTTGGCGTATCGGTCATGTTCGTTGGCGCGGGATTCGAGCGTCGTAAGCTGGGTTGTCCATGTGGTCAAAGAAGCACTGTAGTGGTCGCACAGTGATCAGCGTGTGCTTTCATGCCAACTCATGAGATATTACGTTCGTACCTTTCGAGCGAGCCGGGCGTCATGGCAGGAGTGTCTCCTACACTGAGCTGAGCCGTCTTTTTGTTCTTCTTGTCAAAGTATTTCTTGGCAAGTGCTGTAAGCTTTGCGCTATATTCCTTCTCGATGGCTGCGCGCTCGCGGTAGAATTGCTGTATGTCTTCAAGCCAGGCGATGCCGTGGCCGAGCCATGCGTTCGCGGGTTTGAAGCCATCCTAGGACGCTTTCTGTTAGCCATGCGAATGCTGAGAGAGCATGCAAAAGGAGCTTCCAATGCAGGCGCAAGACAAAAAGGAGGCCAAAACGATGCACTATCAATGGCAGGCTATATTCAGCCAAGTAGGCAACCAACCTTGAGCTCTGAGCCAAAGGTGGGCATCGCGTCCACCTCAGCCATGATGGGCAACGTGTGTATTCAAATCGATCTCAGGAGCGAGGGGTAATCGGTCGGCGCGGATGAGACGGAGACATGTACGAGATCGCAGATTCGAGGCTGAGGATGTATCAAGAGAAAACGGCCTCAGCTATGGAAATAAGTTTGGAATTGAAAGTTATTTGTAAAAGTGAGGTTATAACGGACAATGACAGCCAACGATAGCGGGGGAAGATGAGGCGCAGCTTATGAGGATACAGTATAAGGTAACTAAATGGAAGGTAACTTTCAATTGAAGAGTAGAACTAGACTAACGAAGAAGGAAGAAGGCGCCGCCGCACCGCGCCGCGTGGGCAGCCGATAGAACATGCCCGTTCAACCCTGCAGGTGGTCAGTTTAGGCTCTAGCGTCACTAATCTCCAGCATTGAGAGCCTAAAACCCCGCCAATGAAGAAATATTGGGGGCGCCCCCATCATACCAGCGAGGAATTGATGGAGAGCCCGACTGTTGGAGCAAGCTCGAGATCCTTTTCAATTTAGGCTTGGGAAGACTTTGCCGATTTCCGGTCTGAGCCGCATCAACCTTTGTCAGAGTCGCATTCATGTAGGTACAGACAGTTTGACGTCTTGACTCTTGACTTTGTTCTAGAAAATGTGTCATGATGGGTATGTCAGGGGTCGAATCGGGCATCACCATTTCTCATTTGCATCAATGCAACGGACTACAAACAAGATATATTCATGCTAGATATGCTAACTAACTGCTACCAGTACGGAGTGTGCTCGTCTGACAGCTTCGACGCCGCAAGATTAATGCCTAGCAGCCAAGAAGTAATCAGACTCAGGGGCTACGATGATACAGGGTCCTCTATGACAATCTGCTTCAGAATATTCCGCCGATACATCTCCAAGGCAACACTGACCTTCAGGACCCAAAACCAAGAAAAGAGAGACGCGTAAAACTGGCTGATAATCCACTTGGCAGTGGACATAGTTCGGCGGGTGGTCGGCTCGGATGGAAGCCGAACGACCCCCGGGACATGGCCCAGCAGTAACAATTGAGTAGTAGCACGTCATGTAAACTATTCCTAAAATTCCCCTATGCGAAACTAAAACTATCAGACCGTTGCTACTATCTAAAACCGTTCTCTCAACTCTACTTGTTCATCATCAGTTGTTGTCCTTTTCAGTTACTGCCTCTTCTTCTTATCAGCGATACCCCTGCCAAGACCAAAACCTCAATCTCTCTCACTTAACTAACTACCTAATCACCATGGCGCTCACACTTCAAACAGCCATTGACAAGAGCAACCCGCTCGCAGAGGCCATTATCGTGCCACTTAAGCCCAAGGCCCTCACCATCAGCTACTCCAACCTCGAGGCCGACGTGTCCGCCTTCCAGCGCAAGCTCGCCGATCTCGGCATCACAAAGGCCGCGCCTGTTTCTATCGCGCTCGTCAACTCGTACGAGTTCATCGTCTCTTTCCTCGCCGCTTCGTGGCAGCGCGGTATCGCGGCCCCTCTCAACCCGGCTTATAAGCAGGATGAGTTTGAGTTCTACATCGAAGATGTCAAGAGCGCTATCGTGCTTGTTCCCAAGGGAGCTTGGGCTGCTAGTGCGGCCAGTGTGAAGGCTGCTAAGAAGTTCAACGCTGCTGTTGCTGAGTGTTATTGGGATGCTGCCAAGGGTGAGGTTGCGCTCGATGTCAAGGACTATGGTCTTCTCAAGGGGCAAAAGGAGAAGGTTCTCACAGCTGAGCCTGATGATGTTGCTCTTATCCTTCACACCAGGTAAGTTCTTATGATAGCCATGATAAGCTCAGAACTAACAAATTGACAGCGGCACTACCTCGCGGCCCAAGGTGGTGAGTAGATTTACTTGTGATTCTCATTGACATCTTATACTCACATGAACAGGTCCCTCTCACTCACCGCAACCTGACCCGAACCATGAGTATGCTATACTACACCCCATTTCACTTCGTTTACTAACTCTGCCATAGACAACATCAAGAACACATACCAACTCACACCCAAGGACCGAACCATGCTGGTCATGCCTCTGTTCCACGTCCACGGCCTTCTCTGCGGTCTCCTCGCTCCTCTCTTCACCGGTGGCTCTATGATCGTTCCCACCAAGTTCTCCGCTTCCGAGTTCTGGACCGACTTCAACACCCACAAGGCCAACTGGTACACTGCCGTTCCTACGATCCACCAGATTCTTCTCAAGAGCCCTCCTCCCAGCCCCAAGCCCGAAATCCGCTTCATCCGATCATGCTCCAGCCCTCTGTCACCCACCGTCTTCCAGCAACTTGAGGAGACTTACAACGCCCCCGTTCTCGAGGCTTATGCCATGACTGAGGCTGCTCATCAGATGACATCCAACCCTCTCCCTCCCGCCAAGAGAAAGGCCGGAACTGTTGGTATTGGTCAGGGCGTTGAGGTGAGGATTCTCAATGAGCAGGGCGAGGAAATTCCCCAAGGCTCTGAGGGTGAGATTTGCATCATTGGTGAGAATGTCACCAAAGGATACCTCAACAACCCTTCCGCCAATGCCTCTTCCTACCACAAGAACGGTTTCTTCCGAACGGGCGATCAGGGCAAGAAGGATGAGGACGGATACATCATCATCACCGGCCGTATCAAGGAGCTTATCAACAAGGGCGGCGAGAAGATCAGCCCTATTGAGCTGGACAACGTCTTGACCCGTCACCCTAAGATTGGTGAGGCTGTCAGCTTTGCTATTCCTGACGAGGTCTATGGTCAGGATATCGGTGTTGCTGTTGTTCTCAAGAACGGCGAGAAATTGACTGCCGAGGAGCTGAAGGCTTGGGTAGCTGAGCGATCTGCCAAGTTCAAGGTGCCCAAGAAGGTGAGTTTGTTTTTCTTGCAATATGCTTAAGAAGTAGGGAGTGGAAGTGCTAACAGTGGCCTAGATCTACTTCACCGAGATCATGCCCAAGACCGCAACTGGCAAGATCCAGCGAAGAATCGTTGCCGAGACCATGATGAGCGCTCCCAAGGCGAAGCTGTAAATGTTGTATTTGTTTCGCAGTCGCATTAGATTTCACATATAGAAGGTTACAGAAAGAGAAGTTGGATAGAAACTGTTTCCAACATTGATAGAGCATCGCTATTTAAATGCGGCTAAAATCGATTTATCCCACGCTGTCTAGCATGTTTGTTCGCTGGCCATGATCGCGACCAATGGCCTCCCCCATATCCCCCTCGTTTTATATCCCGTCCCGTAAGATGCCGACCAACTCCTCCACATTAATCGCATAGTATCCAGTATCTTTTTCCCTTAATCGTAGTGTCCATCATGGTCCGCAACCTCAATGATATCATCGTCGTCGTTGATGTACAACCGACTATCATTCCTCTTGAGCCCGGGCTTCTCAGCACCCGGCGCCTGAACCTTTCTGTTGTTCACGGTGTGTCGCTCAACCCAAGCCGTTGTGCCATCGGCTGCCTCCCATCGCAGCGGTGCCTTGGTGAGTGAGTCCTCGGCGTCTCCGTCTGCGAGCTTGGCGCTAGCAGGGTCAACGCCAGCTTCTTGTGCTGCGTGGAGTAGAGCAGCGTTGGCGTCTTGAAGATCGAGGAATACAGAGGTGACTGTGACGTTGGACTCTGTATCGCGCTGGAGGAGGATGTAGACTGAGGGAGCCATGATGGGTTGGTTCCGCAGTTTGTATGGGGATGGGAGGTAAGTATGGTTTTCAGGTAGAATGTATGGCATAGGTTGTTGTGTGTTTTTGTTTGTAATTGTTTGTGATTGTTGAATAGTAGTGGTATGTTTGTTCAATTGTGTGAGTATGGTTGGGAAAAGAAAGAGGGTGAGGCTGAGATATTATATCACATTTAGATCCCACCTCATGCACGAGCCTCCACTGACACAATCCAATTGCCAGGTGACCTATCCGTAAGTACTATAGATGTCTAAATGGGACCCCTCCCCCGCCAACAATTGCGCGACTTCTGGCTTGTCATAAGTGGTGTGACTGGACTACTCGTAAGGCGAAAGAAGGGCCAAGATTAGCAAGCAAGACATATTACCTATTCAGTTCTTCCTCGAGTCCGCTACGGCCAGACTCACTCGGTTCATCTCGAGACCTGAGACGCGCAGTACGGAGAACCAACACCGAAGCCTTCGGAGCTGAAGCGGAGCCAGCCCGGGTTTAACAACTCCGGCCCGCCCGGTAGTCGCCGATCAAAACAAGTTATGATGTAAATTTTGAACTCATGATATGAAAATTTCTGTGTCAAAATTTTGAAGACTGAAGAAGAGATACAATTTCTGCTTTCATGTGGTCTCCGTCCCCAGATACTGGGACCCCAGAAATCTATCATGGCACGATATATCCACCATGTCCATCTTACTAGCAAGGATATCACATAGCATGATGACATACGATACAGACAAACCTCAACAAACCGAAAATAAATCACATCCTAAAGCTCAAGCCATAAAAGTATTACAAGTCAACTCCAGTGACGTTGAGTTTTCGGAAAGTTTTACAATCTCGGGAACAAGATAGAATCAGGTTCGCCGAGTTTCCCGATGGCATGCATCGACTGCTTAAAAACAGGGTCTCGTTGTTAGGTCAGGGTCCAAGCAGGTATTCGCTCGCTTAGCAGAGCTACCCCTGGAGACAAATACATCATCATTTGACCTCATCGATGGGGCACGGCTCCAGCTTCGTCTCCATCATCCTCCGTATATCGGCGATCTTCTGCTTTTTCATCATGAGTCAATTGCTCATGGGAACAAAGCCATGGGACATCTATTTCTAATGAGAAGTGTCGGAGTAGTCGGACATCTGAAAGGACAATGGTTTATGTCGACAAAAAGAATTGCTATTCTAACAAATAATAGAATGTACATTGATACTCCGTACACAAGTATTGAATACAGAAATAATCTCCTCCCACTTACACCAGTATCTTTGGTTGAGGCCATTGGCCCTGGGTTTCCATTATAGACAAATCTATCGAAACTCCATATCTACCCCATATGTATATCGTTCAACATCATAGACGCTGTGCTCATCACTACGCCTCGACTAGTCACCTTTGGATCTCGTACTCGTCACCAACTGGAAGAGCAGAGTCAAGTTTCTTGATCTCATGCTTCAGATTTCGCGTCATAACTCCAGCCAAGAGGAATATCGTTGTAATCAACATCTCTGGTACAACACTTAGGCAGACTTGAACTGCTTTCGAGGTCAAGAAACCTGAAGTTGGGTGGGATATCTTGAGCTGGAGGTATGCGATACCATAGGCAAGGCGTAATCCAAGGAGAGGAAGGTTGATAAATACTGCATACATGAGCTTGCAAATGTTAGTATCCACGTCTCGGTCTTGGTGATGGTAGGGGATTCAACTTACTAGCTTGCCGCCGCGAAAGGAAGATACACAGTTGTTCGTAGATAGTCTTTGACACTTCCCTAAGGACCACAAAGCCCAGATCGCGAGAAGGAACCATGCTAATGCGATGAGTGCAGAAGCAACCTTGAGCAAGGTCTTGTTGGTGGAGACAGAGTCGCCATTCTGCAACCCGACAACAGACACGATGATTAGAGCCATAGCTGCTCCAACAAGACCATGATACTTGATCTCGAGAATGACATCAAGTTTTCTGTTGAGTCTAGGGTTTGTTCCACGACGGCTAAATGACTTTTAACAAAGACAGGGACGTCAACGGGAAGAGGAGTACTCACGCCTCATGCAAGATGCCAGAAGCGGCCAAAAGTAAAGGAGAAAGGCCAATACTATTAAGTATAATCGATCCAGTTGAGCTGTTGGTTTCGTGAAGACCAATGCCACCAGTGACGATTCTGAGCACGCAGAATATCTGGACGTAAAGCCATCCTATAAATCCGGTCTTTCCATGCTTAAAGAGGCAGTACAGGGCAGGTTGAAGGAGAATAATGTAAATGGCTAGCTTAGCCGCTGAGATAGAGTCTGTCATTTTGAGAGAATGAAACAGATTGAGATTGTTATAAGTGAGCTGTGATGTCCGTCTGATAAAATTGCCAAGAGCACGAATGTTGCTACATTATTATACTACTGCAGCAACTACATTTCTGGCTGCCTCTTCAACACTGCCTCTCTTCACTATAGGAGCCAATTTCGACGTCGAATCCCAATGAGGAAATGAATTCGATGAAACCATCTCTCGGCCAATCATAGGTAACCTGGAGCAGGTGTAAGCGATGATGATAGTGTAGTGGCGGAGTTGCACTGGTGTCGACGATCACGACTAACAACTTAAGGTTCTCACGTAATTTCATATCATCCTGTATCGTATCGTCGAAGCGTTTTTGTAGCACTGCAACCAGGTTACGTGCAGTAAAGCAGGGTGTCAGATGCGAGTTAGACGACTCAGAGCCGTCACCCAGAAGGGTCTTGCGATTCCATCGAAAGTTAGTGAAGGCCCCGTGTCGGTGATATACTGATGGAAAATCCTGACCTCTTGTCTTTTTGGGCAATCTGATCCTGGAGATTCAAAAGATAAAAGAAAAGAATGAGAATCTTGAGCTGTTATAAACGATAACGCGGGAGTGCTGAAGGAGATTCCGCCAGCTTATTCCGCTTTCCGATCTGGAACGACCATGTGAGTACCTTGGATGCCGTACTTGCCGAGCACTGATGATATCTAATGTGGCTTGGGTAAATTATTGTCTTAGTAGTAGTCATGTTAGTTCTCAGAGTACGATAAGTCGCCAACAAGTTGTAGCTATAAGTGACGATCCTACCCTAAAGACATAGGATACTTTACAGGAACAAAACCACAGAGAGAGCATTCATGACGACCAGAAACGTTTGTATTTTCCACTTTCCTGCTATACACAGTAGTTGCCCCAGCAAAACTATATAGTCAGATAAGTATAATATTAGTCAAGGTTGACCTGACAGCGTGACCACCAACACGCATATACATTTGCTAATATTTCTCACCCTTGAGCTTCGTAGTATTCTCAGGATGATTAAAGTGTTAGTGTAGATCTACGAGTACCTTACACTTAGCCATTGAGTTCATTATTCGTGCCCATTCAAGTAAGTCCACTGAGAAGAACAAACCCCAGAACTAGAATTATAAGCCAAGACACGATAATCCACTCCTTCACCCCAAAGGCGCACTATCGTCGTCAACTCCTACGCCCTTCTAAACTTACCCCGCCAATCACGGCAATCACCACCCCGCAACTCGGAGCCCATCTCCGTATCACCTCATCCTCCATTCGATACATAAATACAACATCACCATAACCCAAAGCATGAACTCTCGTCTTGTATTCTCACTTTCTAGAGCTAGAATTGCACCTCGCCTCGCTACATTCCGAACAATGGCTTCCTCATCTGTTACCGTCCCTTCCGGAAAGTACGAGTTTCTCGTTGTCGTCCATGACAAGCCCAACGTTCGCGAGAAGAGACTCGAGGTTCGAGGGTGAGCTTTGTTCTGATATTGTATCATATGTGGCTTGAGCTGACAGGCCGAAGAACCCACTTCAAGAACATGGTTCCTAACGTCGAGAATGGAAGCTGGAAGATGGGAGGTCTGTATTCTCATCCACCCAGGCCTCGGAGCTGGACCCTAACAATGAGACTAATGTTTTGTCCAGGTGCCATTCTAAACAGTGTTCCCAAAGACGACAGTGTCGACAGCCTCGACTTTGCTGGCAGTACCCTTGTCTGCATCGCTGAATCCGTAGAAGAGGTCAGAGAGCAACTCAGCAACGACATCTATGCTACATCAGGTGTCTGGGATATGGACAAGGTAAATAGAACGTGAATCCATTCCAAAGCAATTTGCTAATCTGATATACAGGTCCAGATCTACCCATTCAAGGCCGCCTTCAGAATGAACTAATGCACAAAGTCAATACCTTTCGCGTAGAGCCACGATAGAGACCCTTTTCAAAACAGCGAACTGATACTATTTGTGCTAGTTATCATGGTCCGCTACCATGATGTCCATGTCCATCCGTAGATTGCTGACCTCGAATCTTTGTGATCATTCGTTCCCTGCCGCTTTGCTAATAATACCCAGCCCTCAACAACCCCTGCATACCAATGTCATTACCAGCTCAATGAAAGCGAGCTAAAGCTATTACCAAGAACCGCGAGGAAGAGCTATCTGACCTATAAAAATTCCAATCCCAATTCAAGTGATAGTAAACGCCATCGTACACTGACATATCCATGCTCCTTTGGTATGGCCAGCCACCAAAATCATGCGTGGACTAAGCTTCGTTGCCATTTGAACCATTCTCAGCTGCTTCTTCGGCTGCAACTCTCAGTTCGTAGTTCAGATCAAAGCATTCGGCCAACAGTCCGGTAACACTGCCTTGTCCTTCGGGGATGTCGCCATTTACCACGAACTTGCCGTCAACTTTCATGTTATCTAACGAGTTAAGCTGTTTCATGTTAGAAAAGCCCAGGTTATGCCACGATGTATCGACATACCTTCATGCTATAGGGGTAAAGCTCCCGCACAGAGGATACACCCCCATTCTTCTTGACCTCAACGAGGCAACGCTTCAGTGTCTGAAGTTGGTTGTAAACAGGCAACAGAGCCTCTGACACTGGTTCGGATGCCAGCATAAATGAGTAGATGTACGCATACGACCTTCGGATCAGATAGAGCAAAGTTCGCTGTGTCCAGAGATCAGCTGGTCGCCCCCGATCGTCCACCCAGTTTCCGTTCTGTCGGCTCTCATCAATTCTGTCAAGTTGCCGTTGGAAATCGTACAAATCCGTCTCTCGAAGCGACCATGCTTGTGTAAGAGAAAGTTTCTCGAGGTCGTTGCGAATTTGGATGAGCTGATCGTAGATTGGTCGCCATTGCTCAGCTACTTCTCCTTGTCTTTAAAGTATCAGTGGACATTCATGTAAAGTGTTGGTCATCTCACCTCTCAAGAACCATGTCCGACCAGCGGACGCAGCGATGATACAAGTCTTTAAGCACTTCACCTCCCTCCTCCAAAGTTCCATCCTCTGCGGTAAAGGTGCCGTTGTTGTGCTTTTCGCCAATTTCCAAGATTTGGTTCCGTAACTTCTTGACCTCGGATGTGGAGAACTAGTTGACGTTAGCACATCTCGGAACATTCCATTCCATTCCAGCTTCGCTTACCTTGGACTTGGTGTTGGCCAACGAGATAGATCGCAGGATCGAAATGAGCTTCTCATGAGCCTCCAACAAGTAATCTGGCAACCGCTCCAATCTTTTCTGAAGTCGCGACAAGGTTGAGTTGCAGAGCGCAACGCGGTTCTCAAGTAGTGCAAGCATGTATGGAGGGTGTCGCTTGTCGGGCGATGGGTCAGTAGCGGCATCTTTGATGCTTTTAGACAGATCTTCAAGTGTAGACTGGATGCTTCCAAGATCCTTGGCTGAGTAGAGCTCGGCTTCAGTGAGGTGGTCGAGTAGTCGCTTGACAGTTGAGGTCATAGCGTATGTTGCTGGTGCCTCATTGTTTCGTCCGATCGTCAGGTAGAATAGGGACAGCAGCTGGAAGCAGCTCTCCAAGACCTTGTCCACTGGAAATAAACTTGTTAGCATACTCGGGGTTGGATGCGACAAAGACGGTGACATACATCTGTTCTCCTCCTTATCGCCTGTTTCGGCGCGCACAATCGCCAGCTCCTTGACCTGATCCATGGTCTCATCAAACAATGGCATGACATCTTGAGTTCGAATGTAGTTTGTGCGATCCTGTTTCAGAAGCAGTAGGCGATCTCGGACCAGCTGTAGCTTCTCGAGGATGACTTGCTCCCGGGGGTCCCGCGGCATTGGGATTGCTGGAGTCTCCATGCTGATGGGTGCCGTTTCCGAGCTTCTTATGGGGGTGTCGTAGAGGTTTGTGTGATGTAAAGGGTCGAAAGAGTAGTAACCTGTCGCTGTTGAGCTTAGACGTGTATTGGCTTGTTGTTTGTGCTTTGCGCAGGTCTCCGAGGCTCCGATGAGTGACGAAAGTCGACGAGTGGCGGCGGGGCTCACGATCCAGGGAAGTTCAGTCGGCTTTTGGTGGGGAGGTCGTGATGAACTAACTCACGTAGGCGCGATACAAGTCACAAGATATTAATTAAGCGGTGGATGAAGAATGATAGTCTTGAGAGAGAATGCGGAGACGAGAATGCAATTGGAGATGAAATAGTTGATGACGGAAGAAGTTGACTAGCGGATGGTAGATCGTGGAGAAACGATATCACGGTTACAGTTTATTCACCTCAGTTCAGCTGGACCTGCCATTCCCATCTTTGCCTTAACAAAGAACAGATGTTGTCACTTAGTTAATCATGGCAGCTGGGCCCAGGGAAGGCCTAGACCGACGCCTCCACCAGGTCCTGCAGTCACTTCACCTATTACCGTACGCGGTACGCCCTACGTTATCGCTACGGCATTGAGCCAGACGGCAACGGCTAAGCTGGACTGTTTGCTAGTGGGGGTTTCCCAACAAGAGATGGTGGGTAAGGGAGAGACAAGAGGGAGTTGAGGGGGATTGATCTTGAATAAAATCAGACGTCAGTAAGGCTGAATACTTTCTTACTTACTCAGAAGATTATAGGTCTGGAGACTTTACGGTTCATGATATTAAAACTGTAAACACTCTCACCATCATATCTTCATTGACAATGCTCTTATGATGTCTTCTGTCAAATCTGTCTGGTTCCCTAAGGTGGGGTAAAAAGCGCCGCAATTCACTGCATTCCTGGAAACATATTTCATTGGTTCGTTACCTTGCACCCAATCAAAGGCGTGACTCACACTCTTGCACCCACGGAGCGGATTAATTCATATCGATCGCTCATGCCTCCACTTTTCCTTTAGGTCTTGAAGCCCTCCAGCCGAATTTCGACCAGATTTTCTGTGGTAAGCCCATTTGGTGATATCCCGACTTCAAACTACAACCGACTCGACTTCGTGCAGACTTTACAATCTCCCACTCGCACGTCAAAATCATTCACAATGTCTCACGCCGAGCTCGCTTCGTCCTACGCGGCCCTGATCCTCGCCGACGACGGTGTTGAGATCACCGTACGTTTTAACCCCGCGATTCCGTCGACGTTTTGTGTGCCCGTGTTATGAGGTTATTGATAGCTAACATCGCCATCGCGACTTTACAGGCCGACAAGCTCCAGACCCTCATCAAGGCCGCCAAGGTCGAGGAGGTTGAGCCCATCTGGACCTCCATCTTCGCCAAGGTACGAACCGAATAGCCCCAGCGATTTTAATGCGCCCATGCATATCCAGGACTTCGATTTTCTGACGGATTTTATTTGAATAGGCTCTCGAGGGCAAGGATGTCAAGGACCTTCTCGTGAACGTCGGCTCCGGTGGCGGTGCTGCCCCTGCCGCCGGTGGTGCCGCCGCTGCTGGTGGTGCCGCTGAGGAGGCTGCTCCTGAGGAGGCCAAGGAGGAGGGTATGTCTACCCACGACGCTCGACGACTGACTGCGGATTGCTGACAACCACTACAGAGAAGGAGGAGTCTGACGAGGACATGGGCTTCGGTCTCTTCGACTAAGAAGTTACGCCGCTACGACTGTTTCCTTGTTCTTTGTACTTCGACTGCATGGCTTCGGGGTTTCCAATCGATCGATCGTACAGGATGGAGAGCGGGCACTGTAACCTGCGCCCTGGACAGAGTAGCTTCTTACATACGATGCTATGAGGAACGCACTCAACGGAGTTTGCGGAGGGAGAATTGGTCAATTCATACGGCTCTGATAAAAAAAAGTCCCGCCATGGGTGGTTTGAGTTCAACTGGGTTTTCTTCAAAGTGTGACTATCTCTCCAGAGTGCCAGCGATTGTGATTGTGATTGTGATCAGGACGAATATTGTCGTCCTCTTGTCTGCTCTAACTCTACCTAAAGGACTTTTTTCTGTTCATCGTAGTACGACAGATTCATCTCTCATTTCCCCCACCAACGCCGCGCCATGCACAATCTTTCATGTCTACGTCATAAATTTATTTGACGATCAGGACGGACGACGGAACTAATCCCGCTTCCTTCAGAGTCTTGGAGAAATCGAGATCACCCTCAAATGTCTTGCGAGGGAACGTAGTCGTAAAGCTGGACACAGCATTCCCCGTCTCACTCTGTAGCTGTTGCGCCAGCTCGAACAATGTGGTCTCAGCGGGCAAGGTCTTGGTGATGTTTCCGCCATCGGTCTGTAGTCGAAGTCGGGCCTCATTGTGGTTGGTCTTTGGCTTGGATGCGGCCGCGACAGCAGCAGCGCCACCAGGAGTTGCAGCTTCGACTTGAGGAGCTCGACCCTCACGGGCTGCCTTGGCCTCCTCTGCCTTTCGGCGTCGCTCAGCTTTGTCGGCCTCGATCTTTGCTTTGATGCGCCTCTTGGCTTCCAGGTCCTCCAGCTTCTCTTGTCGTTTCTGAGCTGCTTCCTTGACTGCTTGCTTGCGGGCCAGCTCTTCCTTTGCTTCCTGGCTCTCCTTGGTAGACTTTTGGCGAATTTGCTACGACAGGTTAGAACTGAGAAGGGGTGCGACTGGATGATTGTATTACCTCGTTGCGCTTGTGGTCTTCCTTGTCCTTGACAGATTGAAGAGCTCTCTTGGCGGCGAGGCGCTCGCGAAGTTGTTCAAGCTTGGCCTTCTTCTCGTCCTCAGTTAGGGGTGCAATCTCCTCTGTTGACTCCGAGAAGTCAGTATGCTCACTGTAGTCTCAGTCAGCCAAAAATACCCCAGAAGATAGTTGTGCCAGTTTCACATACGTCTTGGTCGCGTGATAGGTAGCCAGATCATGGTTCTTGAATCTCTTTCCACAATCATTGCAGATCAATGACTTGGCAGTACCGGTCTCGAGCTCTGCAATCTTGGCTTCCGTGTCCTCTTCGTCGTAATCCTCTTCCTTCGCAGCGGCAGCAGCCTTGATCTCATCAATAGGCTTGTCCTGGTTATCCTCAAGCCACTGAAGAGCGCCTTGGACTAGCAAAGTTAGCCTGACACGAGTCATCGAAATGTGTGACTTACGGCCTCCGGTCTTCTTGACGGCAATCTCAGCACGCTCCTTGTCAAAGCCCATATCGAGCAGGGTATCGAGATCAGAAGGCATATTGGCGGTGTTGTTTGGTAACAGTTGGTGATAGTGGGGTTGGATGAGGGGCAACTGTTGATGAGTTGAGTAGATGAAGATCGAAAGGATGAAGAGATTAGATCTTGATTATTTTAGTATCAGCAAATTGGTGGACAGGCAAAAATTCCCAGTCGTAAATAAGTTGTGGGATATGCTTTTGCACTGAGTTGTCATTTGATGCTGGAACCAAAGCTTAGGTAAAGCCTGAGAACGTCATTCAAGCCGCTGCTTCAGTGACGTCGCCGGGTTTACTACGGTTAAGCACGGGCGTAATCATGCCTGATGTTTCGATTTCTCTCTCTAGGTTCTCATGATGTAGTACAATTCGAGACCTTATTACATACAGTCCCACACACTCGAGAAATGGAAAATCTATGCTCGCTCGAATAACGAACATCTACGAGAGACAAGCTTCCCAAAATCACGGTTCACAAACATCAAATATGCAAACGCATCTATCGATTCAAACAAGTATTATCATTAAGTGGGCTCGCTAATGAGCTTTGGGTATCATCATAAGTTCATGCCGTCTATATCTAACATCCAACAAATTCTTAATCCTCCTGTAGCCGTCTTCACCACTGAAGTGGCCAACTACCGTGTTTTCGAGCATATGCCTCTCCGAGACGATTCAGCACCTCTCGCGAAACATCTTGATGGTACTTCCTGCACCAGTCGTTTACTTGGTTTCCATTGAGGGACTCCTGGCGAGTAAGAGTCAGATATCGATGTAGGTATGCGACTGCATCCTCCATATCATCGGCTCGAATGTTGTCGTAGAGACTGTTGAGTTTGCTGCACAGCGCATAGTCCCACGGAGCAGCGTAAACTGTCAAACCGCCGTAGTTACCGCGATGCTCGAAGATGACTTCATGCTGGTCCTTGGCCCATTGAAGAATATCGACCTGGACATTTCGAGGCACAAAGAATTGCATCGAGTTGTTGAACCACTGCTCCCCGAGAGTTCCTTGAGCCTTCTTGTTGGCGAAACTGGCAGCATTGCTGAGTGTGATGTACTCTTTCGAGGCAGGATCGTGAAGGAGGAACTCGACATCAGGTGTTGTCTCTCTGTGACGCAGATAGAGTGTGTTCACAACACCGCCAACGACAGCACAGTTCACATATGTACCACATTCGTTCAGGTACTCGGCCATATGTTGGAAGGCGTCGATGATCTGCTGTCGACTCAACTCTGAGGTTTCAGGGAAGTCTTGAAAGATGGACGAGGGAGCCATGACAGAGCCAACTGAATGGCTTGAGATGGTCACAGGACGGATAGGTCGAGACTCCATCTCGAGGATGTGGCGAGAGTTGTTGCAGCCCATGATGAAAGTGGTGAGAGTTGTGCAAGGATAAGTTGAAGCAATATTGGGTAAATATCGAGTATTATACTGCAAGAGATACGAGAGATCTATCTAGATATCGTATAAAGAGGTGATCTTCTCAGATCTAGTCCACCTGACTCTGGAGATCTGTTCGTATAAATACCAAAGCCAAGTGCCGAATAGCCCTACTGCAACCTTTAAGACAGGAGTAGCACACACACATTTGCGCCATAAGCGGTTGTTCCAGAAGAATTCAGTCAGCCGCAGGATGATTCTCTACTTCTACTGTAACGTAGGAGCAGAGAAAATGGAGTAACCGCCCGTGGCACCGCCTCGTGTCGATCAAATACGAGGGTCCTACCCGCAGATGGCGTTCCTGTGAGCCTAGCTATCCACCTTTTTGTTGGCTTTGGAGGACTGTGGTAGGCTGAGTCTGACTTATCCGTAGCGTCGGAATTCAATGTTTAGGATATTTTTAGACTACTTATCCCTCTATCAGTTGCTAGGCTAGGGGAGGAAAGAAAACTCAGGACCTTGACCCTAAACGACAAAATTATTTAGGTAAATCCAGCCTACATTTAGAGGATATTCTACCAAGTTTATTTTAGCACCTTCTGTTTAAGTCTTGAGTTTTCTTGCTCCCTGAGGCTATGGTGGTTTTGAGTGTGAGCGGTTGGTTAACATATCGTGATATTTAGTCAAGTCGTTCATCACGCCAGCCGCGAAACTTCATCAATAGCACACTCCCTTGCCTGAGTTGAGTAACGCTTGGTGATGTTTGCAATACAGCCCAAGCCCTATAACTACCAGCCACCACCACCCACCAGCTGACCACGTTCTTGTCAGCATTTAAAGTCAATAAACTGCACTGTAGGTTTCACCACTTTGAAGATTTTTTTCCCTTCTGGAGTTGCACAGCCTGTTGAGTCTCAAATGTTGGAGAATATGCAGCGAACCTTGGGCAGCAAATTCCGAATTTCCGTGGATGAACGACTCACTCATACAATCCATGACTGATGCGCTTGAGGGAGCTGCTTCAGCTTAGAAGCGGGCAAACTCGAGACCTCGATTACAAGTGACGGGAGTGCTTAGACAAGGGAGAGTAAATAAACTGGGGGCTTGCTGAACAGTTATTATAGTCCTCGGGTCAAATGGTCTCGAGTTTCTTGATTCATGAGTTGCAGATAACGACACATTCTCCCAACTCCTTTGGCGAATATTGCAAAAGTCATGTTCATTTGATGGCCCCAAACCATTAATGCAACTTGCTCTCCAAACAAGAGATCATTGTGCTCATCACTTGTCTTTTAATCTGTCAATGAATATGGGGATAGAGGTGGGTATTAAAACTGTTCGAGATGGTTTGTCAATGCTCAACAAAGAATTGAGAGTTCATGACGGCTGCGCTCACGAACCTGCCAAGCTCTGACGCTACCTTCCGTTACCTCGAGTTTGCCTCGGCCCTCCGCATCTGTTCTAAGTCCATGTGCCATGATGCCCTCACTTCCCTGATTTGAGACACTTAACCAACCATTCAGGTGCTTACCAATACAAGGAGGACCTGCATATCGTGGACCAGCTAGACCCTTTTTTGTGGACAGAAAACGGAGACTTGCAAAGATAGTGGACAACTGCAGGACAATGGAGTAAACAGAAAAGGTAAAATGCAAAGATGACGTTTGATCAAGAATAAGGTATGTGCTGCTTCAGTATGTTGAATCAACCGATTACCATGAAACCAATGGCGAGCAGAGGTCCAATAGTGACTGATAGCGGAGTTTAAGCCCCCTGATGGCTCGTGCGCCCTGTAGCAACCACCTGAAGTTGAACCGACTCAACTGGGAATAGGGCGCCATAGCAGAAGCAATTACGTCGTAGGTGATCCCCAAGACACAGGCAAACCAACGTCAACCTGCCTTCCATAGGTTCCCCTTCCAGGTATAATCAACTCAACTCACCACACTCCACTGCTACTAATCTTTGATTTCGTCACCAATTTCTTCCTTCTCCCACGCGACCAACTTCCTCAAATCTTATCGACTCGGTGCAGCCTCGTGTTGCTATACTTTTAACTTACCTTTAATCAAACTCGCCCCCCCTTTGCTAATCAACGAACGACATTTCATACTGTACTCTACCTCCCGTTGCCACGTTTCCACTTGGTTACCGCCGAGGAACCATCGCGCGATACCACAAACCATAACAACTTCAACATTTTATTACCGCTACCACGATAACAAGCCAAAATGTCGGTCGATATCGAGCCATTTGAGCTGTCTTTTAGACGTGCGTGATCTGCGATGGACGATGACGGGTCTTCGAGTATTGACATGATTGCTAGGCCCCTTCACCACCGAGGTCTCCCAGACCTTGACTCTGAAGAACCCCAACCCTACCCCCGTAGCTTTCAAGGTCAGTCGATCAGCGATTCCCATGCGACGGATTTGCTAACAAGAAGAAAAGGTCAAGACGACTGCTCCTAAACAGTATGCTTGCCCCTCTAGCCAAGCCACTCCGATCGCATACCTGACGTCTCCTCACTAGATACTGTGTTCGACCAAATGCAGGACGCATCGAGGCCGGTCAGAGCTTCGATGTCTCTGGTGAGTCTGCTCCTAAAAGCGGATGCCGGCAGCCGTTAACGATCACCCAGTCCTCCTCCAGGCTATGAAGCAGGATCCCCCTCCTGACGCTAAGTGCCGTGACAAGTTCCTTGTCCAATCCGCCCCGATTACCGCCGATAAGGAGTTTGCCAGCGTTGCGAATGTCGTACGTAGTCAGCCGATCTCAAGATCCGGACTTTAAACTAACTCAATCACCAGCTTGAAACGACCGAAAAAGCCCACCTTGTCGAGCGCAAGATTCGAGTCAACTGGCTCGCGGCTGGTGAGGCCGACCAAGCTCCTAACCGACCTTTGTCCACTCCTAACAAGCAAGCTATTGCCAACGGCGTAAGTTCCACCGACTCGGATCCGGAAGTTGACAACTAATGGTGAAATCTAGATCAACGACACTCCTGATGTTTCGCGTACATTTTCTTCACCTGGCATTCGAGACGAGTCGCCCTCATCCTCGGCAGCGCCCCCTCCTTACCAATCGCCCAAAGAATCCGCCTATGAGGATGAGAAACCCAAATCTACCTACGAAGAGTCCGAAGTCAAGAGCACTATCGCTCAAGCTACAACGGCTATCAAGGAGACTGCAGAGCTGACCTATGAGGAGCTCAAGGCTAAGCTTGCCCAGGCCGAACAGCAGCTTGTGGCTCTCAAGGATAGCGGTCTTCGACAGCGCAATGTCAAGTCCGCCTCCAGCGATGATGAGAAACGACCTCTCGCCCAGACCGCCCAAGCTGTCACCCAAACCGTCGAAGGTGTTCCTGTGCAAATGGCGGCCATTCTTTGCTTGGTCAGCTTCTTGCTTGCCTACTTCTTCTTCTAGAATTAAGGAGAAAGTGACAGCCTTTGGATCTTTTCGACAAACGAAACTAATAGACAGGCTTGACGACGCTCATGAGAACTCAGCCGGAGACTTGGGATCCCCGGATGCATAAATCTTCAACGTACGGCGAAGCTAAAGCATAGGATCAGGAAGCATATCATACGATCGGCGGAACACTGCAGGATTCGCAGCTCAGCATGAATCGAAACTCACTTGGAAGGGTACCTTAGGGACAGTGGACCATGTCCCTAGGCCAGCGTGGATTCGGTCAACAGGACTTCAGACACCTTGCAACTGAGGATGAAAGCCTCGCTGAGGAGTTTAAAAGCGATGGGAGGAGGATGTGGCTTCCGGGGCGGGAGCTTTGACTGTACACTCTTACCTTGAGCCTTTCACGGCTCTCGTATTTTCTTGTGTCGTATTATTCTGTTTGCGTTAACTGATAAATTTGGAGTTCTAACTTGTATCTCTCGTCGACTCTCCTTTTCATCTTTCATGTTTCCCGGTCATTTGCAAGCTTAGCCGCTTGATTATTTACACATTACGGACTTAAAGTCTGGAGCCTTTACACATAAACCAAATGGTGATGGCTCATTAGGTCACAGAGCCGGATTCTGAGTTTTGTGATCGCTCAAAAGATTGTATTGCATTTTTGTCCATACCCTAAACGCCATGCCATATCTGTGTTCTATGGTATATTCATCTGAATCTATGTTTCCTGGCTCAGCCAAAAAGCTACCAATAGCAGCAAGTTTTCGGTTTGATCATGGCCTTGATATACCATAGCCCGTATCAGAATATCAAAACAGCTGCATTACAACGACTTATATGTACTTTTGCGTTGCTTCTAAATCGACTCGATCTCAGACTGCTTCCAGTCGGCTACAGCACCGCCACCGACAAGGCGGCCTCCCTGCTTACGCTTGACACGGCAACTCATGCCAACGTTCTCATCGAAGATGAAGCGCCAGATGGCATAGCACCAGCTCTCGTGGCGGGGCAAGTCATCATAGAATTCGTGAGCAATCTCGCGCACTTTATGAAGACGAGTCCAAGGCACTGCAGGGAAGTCGTGGTGCTCGTTGTGAAGTCCGACGTTGTAGGTGAACCAGTTGAGGGGCCCATAGTAAGAGAAGGTCTCGGGGACGGGGATCTTGTTCTCTGGGTCGCGAGCGGAGGGAGCAACGGTCTCGTACACGTAGTGCTCGGCGATGAAGTGGCCAGCCAGAGGGTGAAGACTCCCAGCCAAAAAGGAGGAGAGCAGCAGGTAGAGAAGAGAGTTGACAGAGGCGTACTTCAGGAGAACGAGATCAAAGGCGACCTGGACAGCGATGTTGAGGGCGTGAACTCCAGTCAAAGGAACGCGGTAGACGGCCATAGGTCGCAAAGCGTAGAAGAAGATCTGGAAAGTGCAGAAGAAGGCCTTTCCGAGAATCGAATCCAGAACGAAGGCCTCGAAGGCAGTGGGAAGATCGGTATCAAGGCCATCGACACCGAGGGACTTGTGGTGGGTAAGGTGGTATGGCTGTAGAGTGTTAGCATTATGTCAGATACCGAAATGC